AAAAAAAAACACACATCATTGTAAAATCAATACATTCATCACTTCGTTCAGAATCTAAAATAAAATGTACGAGTAGCGATTAAAAAAAAGTTACTGGTCTAGCCATCTAGGTAATAGTAAGATAAATTACTTTCCAACAATATCATAACATACATTTAATTATGAGTGTAGACTGACAATCTGTCTTTTATCTGAACTGTTTGTCGTATATACATATATATATCAATAATTTTATACAACATCAAATTTAAATTTTACACGAAATTTTTTTTTAAATGAGTTAATTTTTGTTTTTGATGGAATTGAGTATTATTGGTTAGTTATTGTCTGAATTCTTTGTTGGAATAAAMATGGTTATAAATTAATTTGATAAGGCCAAAGTGGAATATTTTATGTATCTACACTCCACATATTATGCTATTCACTCAAATAAAACCTTATTTAATTTCCTTCACTTTAATCTTTCAATAATTATTCAAATAATTTTGTTTACCATATTAAATACCTAATAATTGTATACCAACTTATCATCATAAAAAAAATTGTAGATTAAAAAACATTTTTGTCAAATTAAAATTGCATTGTTAAGTAGGTAATCATAATATTGTGTAATATTAATATATAATAAATATTGTTACCATGCAACAAATGAATAGACATGAATGGATAAATAACAATAAAATAAAATATTTTGTGTTCTCATTAAAATTTACAAAATTCACAATTTTAATAACGTTTTAAGTACAAAATTTTAATCTTATAATTGTTTCATTTTTATCAAAATGTTCCGGACTGATGATACAGGCCCTAAGCTATGGTTTAATGAGATATTGGTAACAAAATCTATAGCTAAAAGAGAATTTCAAAAGCACAATTATGAAATAGGTAAATAACCGTAAAATCATTAACAATTATAATAATAGATAAGATCAATTAGAAATACTTTAATCTTGATAACTGATCTTAATAATTAATGTATACAATAGTTAAACAAATACACAAAATATATAATATGCATGTATATTGTATAATATATATGGTTATAGTRTATAGCTGTTGTTACTTTTTAKTTATGTAGTTTATTTTTAAAAACATACAAACGTCATTATTTTAGCTGCTCAATATTGTGAGAAAGTATTGGCGGTGTCYAAAAACGATTTAAACTCTAGAATTCTTCTAAGCAAATGTCAACAGAACTTGTTTCAACCGAAATTAGCCTATGCAAATCATTTGATAGCAGAAGCTCAATTTCCTGAAAAATTATCAGTTTTGGAGAACAGAGCAAGTATAATGCTAGACAATGAAGAATTTGAAGAAAGTTTAATAACATATTTGAATGGAGTAAAAAAGAGGATTCAGCCATTAGATTTTACATTGGGAGTTCTAAAGGTATTTTCTGTAATATAAAAACAAAATTGTACTGTGGTATTGTTTTTTTTTTTTTTTTACTATTTATTAAATTAAAGTAAGAGTAAATTATATAAACAATAATAATTTTAGGTGTCACAAATAATAAACAACTCAACAACTTTAAGAAAAGAAAAGTATAGAAAACCTTGTTTGGGAAGTGCAGTTATTAAGTTAGCAAAAWTGGGAGGTTTGGATAACGTGGCAGCTTTATACTCGATACTTTCAAAAACAAAWCTTACTTGCAAAAAAAGAAATCAATCATTTTATCTTGGCCGTTTAGCACAAGATAGAATGTACTTTGATAAAATACTAAAATCTGGTGGTCCTAAGCGGCCGTTTTAYGAAGCAGAAAAGAAAATTTTAGGTAACATGAAACGAGTAGTCGACTCACTAAATGTAGCTTATGTAAGTATTACTTATTTATTTATTATTGACTTTTAATTATTTTAATTTTTAATTTAGGAACAATTTTATAAAAGAAAACAGATTTTTGTTTATAAATGTGAAAAGCATAAAATGAAAGGCGATAGACTTTTAACTGAAATTAATAATTCAAAACTTGTAAAAAACATGGGACATCTTATGATTTGTAAATACTTAAACAATATCATTCAACTGCTAATAAAAAACAAAATCAAAGAAGCCAAATTAAAAACAGAGCTAATGATAGAGTTTATGGAGAAAAAGTCTTATAACTTCAACAGAATTTTGGATGGGATTTATCAAAGTTTTGGATTGGTGCAATATAAATCATTTCAAAACATACATCAGTGGAGCATAAAAGATAATCATCAAAGAATGCTAATTTTTTTAGGAGCAGCTAAGAATAACATACCACTCCAAGAATCTATATTTGGACCATATGAAATAAATCCAAAGTATGACCAAACTTGAGATCGATTTTTAAACAAATGATTCTTATGATATATAAATATAGGTATTTTCCAGCATAAAAAAGCTAAAATAATTACATCATGAAAAATGCATGGCTATATCTAATTAAAATAATTAATTATAAAAAGAGATTTGAAGTTGCTCCTATCTAGTAATTATTAATAGATATATTTTATAAGAATTTTTTTCAC